TTCCTCCATCAATGATGAGACTGCATACTTTGTCACTTACTTTAAATCGAGTCTAAAACAAGTTCTCTTGTTGCAATTGCTCATCTTCTTTAACTCGGGGGGTTAGCACTCTTCGTGCCATCGAACAACCAATTTCACCTTGAGTTGGTGAACATTCTTCCTCGGTTGAGTCAATTTCCAAGCACTTCTCCTTCGTCAAGCCTGGCATCTCCTCACAATCGTCATTATCCGACACGACATCTCCATTGTGAGTGATAAGCATTACTCTTTGATTCGGACATTGAGATTGGATATGTCCAAATCCTTGACATTTGAAGCACTTAAGGTCTCTACTCCTAGGCTTAGAAGCCTCTTGAGTCGACTTGGAAGTGGACCTAGATGCATCAACAAACTTATTAGGGGTAGAATTGGAATTTCGGTTAGGGAAGTTACCTTGTGTTAGGCTAGAAGTGGGCGGTGTGGCCGAATGTCCAGCTTCATCGGATGCCCTCCTCGGCTGACCTCCTTTCCAAACATTCGGGTTTGAGGTGGGGTATGGTCGGCCGCCTCTCCTCAATTTCTTTCCCCTTTCGGCCTTGGTGGCTGTGAGAACCCTTACTTTAAAATATAATTTCACTAAACTACATGCCTTGCCTTAAGATTTAAACCACTTATTACATGCCCTTGCATTATATTCTACATGTGTTACAACAATTCCCTTGTATTGCATTTCATATCCTCTGCTTGAATTAAAACATTTCTTTGAGTTGGTTTTTGTTTATTTCACCACTTACATTTTACCAAGTGGCTTTTATTTGTGGTAGGGACTTTGTAGACACCAAAATTTTACTCTTTTATTTATTTATTATTTTTGTTTTAATTTATCTCATAATTTCATCTTAGACATTTTTTACCATTTTTGGACATCAAGTCTTTTAATTTAGTTTTATTTGTTAATTTATCTCATATTCTTTAAATTTTTTAGATGCAATTTATTTATTTTGTAAAAAAGAAAAAAAAAGAGCCCATGCACCATGCTGCACTTGATCCAAGCTCCTTCTCAATATTTCATTTCAAGGCAGTAGCATGAGATGGAAAAGAACAGAAATTTGCAGCGGTTTCTTTGATCCCAACCTTATCCAAAAACTGCCATCCAATGGCTCAAATCTTTGGTAATAATCTACCCTTCATCCTCACCTTTGAGGTGAGGGTTTTAGGGACTTAGGGATTCCTATAAAAGGAGGAGCCGCAGCCAGAAGCAAGGGGGGAGCTGCTAGGTTTAGAAAAAACATAGCAGGAGTGAGGAATAGAGAAAGCTTACGGTAAAAAGAAAGAGAAAACTGGGAAAGACGCAGCTGGGGGGTTGGTGGCTGAAAGGGGAGGGCTGAAGAAAGAAATATGGAAGAGAAAAGGGAGAACGGCTGGACAAAAAGAATGGGTGACGGCTGAAACAGAGGCCAAAGGGGGGAGCGAGTGTATGACGGCTGAGGGTGAAATGAAAAAGAAACTAGAGAGCTGGGTTTTGACAAAGGAAAGGGAGAGAGCTTGTGATGACTGAAAATCTGGAGAGAAAAGAAAAAGCTAGAGGGAAAAAGGGATGACGGAGATAGAGTGAGGAAGAGAGGGTGACGGCTGAACAAACCAGAGGAGAGGAAGAGCTTCAGGTGAAGGAAACGAGGGAGGAATCTGGTGTCATCTGGGACTGTTATCGCTTACCGGATTCAACCACCGTTGTTGCTGCCGAATCTTCACCAGAAATAGCACTACCTTTGGACTAAAAGTTTGGCCGCAATCAGATTGAACCTTTCGACCCGTTGCAATCTTTTGTAGTTTCTTTCCCTTCGGTTGCTGAGGATAAATAAGTGAATTCACTTCATTAGGGTATCAATTCAAGGGAGGTACACTCTATCCTTTGTTTTTGTTTTTGTTTTATTTGACTCTATGTGCCTTATGTGTCTTATGTGTGTAATTGCATGATTTCGAATGTTTTATTTTCATTTATTTATTTATTTATTTCTTTGGTTATTGCATTTATTTTAATTTTTGTGGGATTATTCTAATGTAATTTTTTGAAAGGTAATGAAATGCCACAATTGTAATAGTTAAGTATTTATTTTAATTATTTTCATTTCCCCCTCTTAGGTTGTAGTAGGGCTCCTCGAATGTAATAGTTAGGGCTCTATTTGTTTTATTTGCCTTGTGTGTTTTTGCATGCCTATGTGTTTTGTGTTACTCACTTTCCTAGGGTCTTGCATCTATATACCATGCTTATGTGTTATGTGCTATATGTGATTTACGTGTTTACATGCTTTTATTAGGTCTTACATGATTTATTTGATTGTAACCGATGTGTGACGTCACCACACTAGTCCAATGCTAGTTGTGGTCAATTTCTCGAATCCACACTAGTCCAACGCTAGTTGTGGCCCTTTGTTCCGACTTTTCTGACTGGTCCAATGCTAGTGGGAAATTGTAGACATGGGCTAGTCCAACGCTAGACCCTTAGGAACCATCCGCACGTTAGATCATGATTGTGTGATAAAATCACTTCATCTCATGCATATTTTCACTTTTTAGGGCCTTTTATCATGTTTTGCATGACATCCCTCTTTATACGTATATCCCTTCTGATATGAACGGCACCAACCATGTGATGCATCCCGTACAAAAAGGCTTGGATCTAGAAGGTAGGGACTCACGTTGATGACGACGAACGCAGCGGATCACCTAAATCCGTTGATCACGTGGTCAACGAACCTCGGTATTTGTAGAAGACGCCACAATCTAGCGCGGTCCTAGATTGATAAGTCGATTGAATACCCAAGATATAGATCTAAGATATTCAAGGTGCTTCAATGAAGCTCTTAAGAGAACTTTCAATTGTAATTTTATTAATCGTCAAAAAAAAACTGAATGTAGACAACGGCTTAAGGCTATTTGTAGCCGTAACCAAAACCTACCAAAGCTTGTAAACGTTGAAGAAAAGGCGGCCAGCCCTTGGGCTTCCCTTTGGGCCGCCACTAGCCAAAAGCTCAGCGTAGGGACTACAAAGGTGGCCCACATGGCCTAGCCTATGGCCAAAGACTAACAACGACTAAGGTTCAACCCATAGGTGTGTTGGATCTCTTTATTACATTCTACTAACTGGTAATGGACCATGGGCCCGTGGCCAAATCTTGGGTAGCTAATCCTCTTGAATGGCCGCGAGTAAGATGACATATCTAGCTTCGTTGAGGCCCTCAATAGCCTTTGGCTCTCCACTAGACGCTCGGGCTGCACGAACCAATATTTGTAGTGCTTCATTCAATCTCTTCGCGCGGGCTCGTGTCATGGGCCCCAATGGCACCTTCACTTGCTCCACTTGGATAGCCCTCTCGACCTCCTCATCATTCCCCTCCTCTTGCGAAAGATTTGTCCTCAAATCGACCTCATCATCTGCAAGATAGGGACTTAGGTCAGCAACATTAAAGGTAGCCGAGACATTATACTCACCTGGGAGATCGATCTTGTAGGCATTGTCATTGATGCGTGCCACAACTTGGAATGGTCCATCTCCACGAGGTAGCAACTTGTTGTGACGCTGGACAGGGAAACGCTCTTTGCGCAAGTGTAACCAGAACCAGTCACCTGGTTCAAATATTACGTGACGCTGACCCTTGTTGGCATGCTTGAGGTACTGCTGGGTGTGTGCGTCAATGTTGGCTCTCACCTGTTGGTGTAAAGCCTGGACAAACTCAGCCTTTTTCTTGCCATCAAGGTTACTAAGCTCAGACAATGGCAAAGGCATCAAATCTAAGGGAGTCAAAGGGTTAAAACCGTAAACAATTTCAAATGGTGAAAACTGAGTAGCACTGTGAACTGTACGGTTATAAGCAAACTCAACATGTGGTAGACACTCCTCCCAAGTTTTGAGGTTCTTTTTAATGATGGCCCTAAGTAATGTAGACAATGTACGATTAACGACCTCTGTTTGGCCATCGGTCTGGGGGTGACTGGATGTAGAAAATAGCAACTTAGTTCCCAACTTCTCCCACAAGGTCTTCCAGAAGGAAGAGAGAAACTTCACATCTCTATCAGACACAATGGTCCTAGGTACACCATGCAAACGGACAACTTCCTTAAAGAAGAGATCAGCTATGTGAGTAGCATCGTCGGTCTTATGACATGGGATAAAATGGGCCATTTTAGAAAATCGGTCAACAATGACAAAAATACTATCATGACCTCTTTTACTCCTAGGGAGACCAAGCACAAAATCCATCGAAATGTCAACCCAAGGTTCTGAAGGGATAGGGAGAGGTGTATACAAACCAAAGGGTTGGAGTTTGGACTTGGCACGGTGACAGGGGATGCAGCGTGACACCACTCGCTCCACGTGTGACGACCCCACCTCCCCCTAAGGCGTACCAAAGGGTTCGGCGGACCGCCTGCCCAGCTCTCGCCAGGACTCACTCACTATCTTAATCGAGTCACGTACACACATCCATGAACCATAAATAACATTCCCAATTCAAGCTTATAATTTACATTAATAGAAATCGAGGTACAAAGTCTCAACACACCCAACTAGTTCAATACGTATACAATCCAAGTACAACATGTTCCATTCGAGGAATAGCGCGAGTACAAGACCAAAAAGTCAAAAGTCCAAAACAAAAGGCTACGCTAGTCTTTTACAAGTCTCACGCGTCACTCGTACCCCTGAAAGGAAAAACAAATGGAGTGGAATGAGCTAAAAGCCCAGTGAGGTTCCAAATAGCAAATTGACCATTATTTAGAAGTACAAGTTTTCGGTATAGCAAAGTAACAAGCATGAAGAGTTCATAAAGGTGAGCAATAACACGTCAAGTAGCAATCTTAAAATGAACGAATGTAGAAAATTTTTCAAAAGAAACAATAATCCAATAAACAATAATTACTCCAAAGTATAAGGATACGGATGACTCTCAGGAGCCAAATTATTACATTACAAGAAGCTTGATCCCGTAGTAGTTGACACTTTAACCTTTTTTCTTTTGTTTTAGTAGTTATTTTTTTGGGGGATTGCTCAGACCCATATGACTTTTCCGTGGTTTTTACCGGCGTTGCAGTAGTTTGTTCATTCGGCTAACGTATTCATGTTAGTGTTATAGTGGATTGAGCTTTGGTGATTGTGTAGCAGCACCAAAGATGTGTTTTTGGGTCTGAAAAGTGTTGAAAGAAATATAAATAGAGGGAAAGATTGAAGGACGAAACGCAGTTTGTATTGCCGTTTGGGATCAGGTCCTTTCTCATATGAATATAAATAGTATACGCAACTTGGTGCTAAACTAGCCCTGTTGTGTTTTAGCTGAAGCTTGGTGCTCAGTGAGATGAACTGTTATGAGTTTGTCTGCTAGATATGTAAGTAGCATGCATCAAAGCCAAAAGATTCGCTTTAGTTGGAATAGATACTACTGAATACCAAAAGCGGAAAAGCTTTTCGGTGGTGGAAACTCTAAAGCAATATGTAACTGTAATTTTGCAGCGGTTATCATCAAGTGGCTATTCTTTTCGGTGAACAAAGACTGGCTCAAAGGCATAGTGAATACTTATTTTGAAGTTACTCTACTTACGGAATATAGATTGTGCAAGAAAAGGGGGAAATAAAAGAATATTAAAACTTGCTCCTTGCATTTGTGTTTTGAATTTGTAGTTATTTGATGGAGACCTCATCTCTACATTTCTCAGGAAGAACATGACGATGAATATGAAGAAGAAGCAGAGGTTGCTGATGTTTTTGACAGTGACTTTGATGAAGATGTAAGTTCAAAATTTTTGTGCTCGGATTTGTACATTCTATTGAACTGTTGTTTGATCATTGCTTTCTTTTTACTAGATTTCCTTGATTCCAATTGAACCATGGGTACTGGGAGTGGGGAGAAAAAGAATGAAGAAAAAAAGCCTTTTCTACTAATTGTTTAATTTATTCTTCCCATATTTTTTTACTGCTTATCTAATTTTTACAACTCTAATTTAATTTCAGGAACCTGAGCCAGATGAAGAAGTAGAAAATGAACCAGATGATAGGTTTGGCTTCTCATAGTCCCATTTTCTTTAGAATGGATTACTTCATAAATTTTCCTTTTTTTCTGTTCTATTGGTGACAGGACTCGACCAAAAAAGCGACTAATATTCCCAGGAAAGACAATATCTAAGAATAAAAAGAAAAAGAGGGTACATAAATCGGAAAGGGTTCCTCGAGAGGAAGGAACTTCTGAGCAATCCACTCCTCCTGAGCATCATGATGCTCCTGAAGATGTGGAAGTGGAAAGAACCATTAGGAAATCTACTAGAACTTCAGTTATTGTTAAGCAAGCTGAGAGGGAGGCAATACAAGCAGCACTGCAAGCAACAATAAGGCCAATTAAAAAGAAAAAGGAAGGCGAGGAGAAGCGGATGACCCAAGAAGAGATGCTTCTGGAAGCAGCTCAAACAGAAATTATGAACCTTAGAAATTTGGAGCGAGTTTTAGCTAGGGAAGAAGAAGTTAAGAAAAGAGCAGTTGTGCATAAAGCAGTTTACACAGGCCCTCAGATACGATATCTTTCAAGAAATGGTTCTTCATTTCTTGAGTATATGAATGGAGCGTCATTTGAATCAGAGATATCAACAGAATCCCATCCTTGTAAGTGTACTTTCTTTACATGATAGATTGTGTAGTATTGAGGTTTTCTCAATTTTTGCATGCATTTCTAAAAATTGTTTGCATATGTGCAGTCCTTTCTGGATAACTTTAATGCTTGCGTCCAGTTTTCTACAATCCCCTATGTTGTATTTAATCTCTGGTTCCTTGCCACCGTTATGATTGCTCGCTGCAGAAAATAACTAACTATTGTGAAATGAATCTGACCCCTGCATCTTCCAGAACTCTATAGTTGTAAGAGTCTTAATCTTAATAGTTAATTTCTTTATTATCATTTCACAGACGCAGAAAAAGCAATTTGTGCTGTCACTGGGTTACCAGCAAAATATCGCGATCCGAAGACTGGGCTACCATATGCAACAAAAGAAGCTTTTAAGATGATAAGAGAGGAGCTGTCGGATAAAAGCAAAAGCATTTCAGAGAAAAAAAGCAAGGAACTCCTCTCTGATGCAATTCCTGAGCAAGGATTTTCTCAAAGACGAAAGAGAACAATGTTTCCAAAGAGAGAAACATCATACTTCCGGCCTTTTGCTCGTTTCCGTAGATTTCCTGCTAGTGAAATAGAAGATTCAGAATAGTGACGATGTGAGCTGGTGTTCTATATTTCTTGTCTTCTGTGCATGTATTGACAGATGTTTTGCTAGATCAGGATATTGTGAATACAGAGTTAGGACAGATTTTGTAATCTTTGTTATTAACCAATCGCAGAGCACATAATTAGCACCTGACCAAGATTAAATTACTGAACCCATGAACCAGCCTTCTAATGATGCTGTCCTATCCTATATTTAGTCGTTAACATGTTTCTAAACACGCAAACCCTGTACGCCATTACAGAAGGAGATAATGGCAAATAATATTGCTCTTTGTTTTGGTTCTGCGACCATCTCTGCTCTCACCTGTTAGTGCTGTCGTTGAAGCTCCAACGACAAATTACTAACTTCTGACTGGTGACTGCATCAATGTGAAGCCACCTATGCTCATCTCCAGTATGAGAAACAAGAATTTGAGGGAATTGGACGCGGGGCTGGAGCGGTTGTCAGAACAACCGCTCCGGAAGGTGTAACACCATTTGTACATGGTGTAACATCATCTGTATAAGGTGTAACAATGAAACAACGGCGAGTAACAATAGAACAATATTTTTATGGGTCCCACACGGCATGAAAATCGAGTTACAAGACGTGATCTGAGCCGCACAAATTTTTTAGATCTCATCCAGGCCGTAAACTGCTTGGGACGGTTGTCTCTGACAACCGCCCAGGCCCCTCGTCCGAATTTGAGCGACATGTCAGAGTGTAGCTGTAGGCTTGTAGCTCAGTTTCAGGTAGAATGGTGAGACAACAAATTTTACTTTGGGCTCGGTGCGGCTTGGATTGCAGCTCGTCCATCTCAATAAGCCTTTAGAATCCACCAATAGCTGGAAAAGTCATCCACCAGAAATACTTCCAGCTAAAATGATATATTTTCAGTTGCATGAGCCCGGTGACTTATTTATCAGGTTTTCAAGACATCTTATAAAGTAGAACAATTATGCTTAGTTTTGCACGGGGGTGGGTGACTGCTCCTTGTGCAGAAGGTATCATCTCTTCATCTCACTCCGCATCCTTTTCATCCGAACATAATCAAGAAGCATTAACTCGCAGTCTAGGCGTGGAAAAAAACTTCTTTCAGGACGCAGATCACATCCTTATGCGGATGACATCCAGGAGACACATATTTTGATTAGAAATAGAAGGATGCAAGGCGTGCTGATGCAGGTTACAAACATGTACAATCGAGTTGATGCTTCTGATAAATGAAATAAACTTGCATTCCACTTCTGTTGCTGGCAATGGTTGTCGGATTTTAGTACTTATTTTGTTCGTCTCCAGGCTGGAAATCTCGTTCATTATTCATGAAACCAACAGTAATTACTTTGGGATAACTGATCAAAAGAAAGTTTAGGAAAGAACTGAAGAAAAAGAACAACGGGCGTTTGTCAGACAACTACAATACGATCCTAACGATGACGAGCCCACCGAACAGATCCTGCTCAAGTAAAGGTCGTGGCTGTCCTCCTCAACCTTTCTTGATTAGTGTAGCGCGTTGCTGTTTGAAGGACCTTATGCGGGATCAGAACAACTTTAGCTTAACCTCAAGTAAATCCTCTTCCTCGTGTGACACCTGTTTACCTGAACTTTGATTTGGGAACAGCGCTAAGAACGCAACTCCGCTACTGTTCATAGGCCAGTTTGGGAAAAGCGCTGAGAACGTAACTCGGCTACTGTTTACACGCCCAGCACCTGAGATCGAATCTAGAATAAAAACAAGGGATAATTTTACTGAGCTCCGCTAAGGTTTTCAAAAATTATACCTACCTCCTATGATTTGATAGTTTTAGTAACAAAACCTTAAAAATAATATTGACTTGATCAAATTTTTAAATGGATATCCAAAAATACCCTTATGTAATGAGTTTTAATTTATTTTCTATCTAATAATAAGATTATTCAGTATAATTATAAGAAAAAAATACCAAAATTTTCATGTCCATTTAATAAATAATTATAATAATAATTTTATCACTATGATAGGATACTTATGATGGTATTTTATCATGAATTGAGATTATAAGATAGAAAAGAAATATTAAAATAATTCAATTAGAGTTTATAAATTTTTTGAGTAATTGGATTATCATAATTTAGTGGTGATTTTAGGTTTTTTTAAATTTATTGTTAATTTTAATACCAAAAAATAGAAAATAAAGATCAACAAAAACATTACATTACATATAAGTTAACTCATAAAAAAATCACTAGTTCAACATTTAATTACAATAAAAATTAAAAGTAATAGTGGTAATTTTACAGTTTTATTGACAAAAATTTTTAAAAAAAGGAATAAGAAGGAAAAAGAATGAAAAAAGAATTTGAAAAATCATTCTAATTATAATCATACCAAACAAGGAAATTTCATTAAAATATTTAAGAATATTACTGTCATTTTAAATAATAAAGGAGATATGTGTAATTTTTAAAAGCTCAAGGAAGATAAATGAAATTGTTAAAAACCTCAAGGGAGGTTTCTGAAATTATCCCTAAAAACAAGTATCAAACATTGTTTGGTCCGATGGCCAAGGCTACGAAAGCTGGTTTTACAGAGTGGATTTGGAATCAGAACAAAATTTTATTTCCACCTTTCCAAAAGAGAATTTCAGCACTATTTGATACAGAATGAGGTGCCATGATTTCAGCAAATGCACTTTTGGCAGATACAAGCGTCACAAAATTGTAGATCGTGGGGAGGCAATACTCATGCTTACTATTTAACTGCTGTACACTAACAGATCACTCAGGTATTCAGGTACCAGCCGAAACCATTTGTACAAATATTGAATGAGCCTGGGAAGATAATGGTGTCTTTTTCCTCCAGAAACCTAGAAAAAGTAGCCACTGATTTACACTGTATTCAGTCATCTTCAATGGGTTGCGGATCATAACTATCTTCGATGAGTTGCGTAAACAACCATACGAGATCAGCATAGACAACCATACGAAGTGAATAGGAGTGGAAATCTTCCTGCTATCACTGCATTACTTTTCCAACCTTCCGGAACAAAAAATACTAATGTGCAGCGCTGCTCCCTGAATGCAGAAAACGTTCAAGAATTTGTTACTAGACACCAGGGAGAAAAAAGTAATAAACATGAAAACTATGAGTTGACATACAAATAAAACTTTTGGAAGGGAATCCATAAAGAGGAAATCATCACCAGACAGAATGAGTGTGCCACAGTGACAGTTACTTCAAAATAAAATGTTACCAGCAACCCAATCTCGGTTGCCTATGGGTATCAAATGCACGCCTATAGGATCAGTTTTCTGCTGTTGTGAAAGCAGCAAAACAAACCCTCTTACACAGCAAAAATTTAAGAGGAAAGCATGAGTTCATGCCTTTGGTCTCCAACCAAAAAAAAGAAAACAAAAAAAGAAGATATTATACTGGATCTTTATCAAAACAAAAGGACATGGGTTAATAAACAAGCAAATTTACCTCAGTTACAAATTTATCAAGCAATATGTGAAGAACTAGAAATGGGTTTTGTTTGCAGCCAAGAGGACAGAAAGAAAGTGGGAATAATAACTGTAGAAGTTATACAGTACCATTAGAAAATTCTATGCATTTCATACCACTATGTAATTTATAGTTATGATGCTTACATAACACCTTGCATTCTGTAAAAAGTACAAGAAAGAAGCACTGGAGTATTGCCATCTATAAAACAAGCATACCTTCAAGTCTTCTAATTACTTCCAATTTATTCTGAGATTTAACTCTTTCAAGATGAGGTGCAATCAACTCATCCAATTTCACCAACCAAAATGCAAATGCAGAAGACGTCTGTGGCATGGTTGGAAAGCTAGAAAGAATATCTTCCATAACACAATTTGACTCCACAGAATCATCACATTGGTAGAAACTGTCCTCATTGATAGCACTGACAAAGTCACCAATAACCTACCAAAAAAAGGAGGCAACATTAATGATCTGCATATCCCAAAAATTAAATTTTTAATGACAGATTAACAATTGTTTGTCAATGATATAAACCAATTCTAGACAAACTAACAAATTATCAAAAAAAACATAGCACAATAGATGACTGTATTATTTACCTGCAGGCACTCTGCCAACGTTGAGGCACGTCGTAACCTTTTCACCCAAAGATTATGAGCAGATTTTGCCCATGAATCAACCAATAGGTCTCCAGGCATAACAGACTGCAAACAATCATTTTATACAAGAAAATTTAGTGCAGGATAGATATAAATAAACTGCAACAAATGCATTCATATTAATAGTAAATCACAATTCAATAGAAAAGTATTGACCCAACCCACTATTTGGGTAGACATGATTTCGATTCAGTTGTATGACCTAAAAACCTTTTTCATTCACTGTTGCTTGTCTCCTCACCGAGTCAAAGGTAGCTGACTACTAAATGAACCAGAAATCTTTTTAATACAATCCCAGATACCCATTCATTTCTTCATGGACGGACTTCACTACTCTTTGTAATTACAAATGTCGAGTTATTTCAATCCTTCCACTCTTTCCCACAGCACATTTTCTTTTTCCATATGCTTCGGTTTCTTGGCATCCTTTCACCAATGACCAACACCAGTTGGATGCCAAGACAATTCAGGAGAATTCTGACTCATAGTCTGTAATGAGAATAACACAGAGGACAACTCACTCTCAGGAGCAATATAACGTTATTCTACAACTTATGCTGATACTGGTTTGAAAATGTTCCCAATAATTTGAGTTAACCTACTCTAGCCCATTCTCTTATCAAGTATAACTATCAATTAGCTAAAATAGGTCACCCTGCCTTAGGTAGGAGTTCTAACATCTGGATTGAGGCTGCAAGAGAAACTAAATCACAGAATGTGATGGCTACAACAGCAGCTCTAAACATCTAGGTTGATCAGGAGCATGAGTCCATGTAAAAGGTCACTAATTCTTTAACTATCTAATATGTGCAGGAGGCAAACTGATTAAAAATTTGAAGCGTTTGTGCAGTATTTACTAATGCAAAACTAGATTGTAACCCCACCTCGATTGCACAAATTGCAGCTTTGAGTGATTGCAACTGTGAAGATAGGACTTTATGCCTTGGAAACTTATTAACATCCAAGTTTCCCCGACACGTGGCAGTATGAACTGCATATCTCTCTTCTAGATCAAAATCAAGCTCAAATGTGGTATGGCAAACCTTACAATGCTTCTCATCTCGCCAATAGAGGTCATGGCAATGTTCACATCTTGTAAGAGAATCAACATATGACCTTTTGCCATGCTTAACAGCATTTAGGTTAGAATAAAATGATTTCCATATCCATCTATCAAACGCTTGAGTAAGATTCCATCTATGTCTCTGTTGTTCTGCTTTCCTCATTTCAAAAACAACAGCACCCGAGGGAACATCCTTCTGAACTTCAATCAATGATAGGTTGTTGTCAACATCTGACACAGCTGACAAACTATCTTCTCTGGACGTATTCTGATCAGATTGATCAGAATGGTTTAGCTGCCCGATTCCAGCATCATTTACTACATTGGACATTGCTCGGCAGAGATATAGTTCTCGTTTCTCCAAGGACGACAAGAGGAAAGCCTCACGTTGACCCCTGCGATCCAGAGATGACACTAAACTACACAAAGCCTGCAATTATATCAAAACACGCTAGCAAAATTAAATTAAAAAAGGTGAAGCAAAAATCCATATAAAGGTAATAACGAAATCCAAAAAACAGTGAGTTTGTTTGGATTGGAGTTTATTTAGATAATTTATTTGAGAAAATTACTGTAGCACTTTTAGCACTTTTTGTGATGTGATATATGTGAGATAAAAAAGTGATTAGGAAGATAAAAAGTGATTGAAATTTGTGAAGTAAATTTTTTTATTTCAAATCTTTCTAATCCAAACACACCCACAGTACCTCTTCATTATCAATGAACTCCCAGTTTCCATCTTCGGAGGATTCAAAATAAATTCTCTTATGCCCAGGATCAGATCCATTTTCAAGGAGTTGGAGCAATGAGGCCGCTACAGGGAGATTTGTGGTTCAAGAAAAACCTCATTATTCAATCTCTTCCCAAGGGCGGTCCTGTGGGCAATCCCAGTTCGAATCCTTGCACATTCATTCCCGGAACCAGCCACGGACGTTGTACTTTGGCTCAAAATGAAGTGAACTCTGGTGCCCATGCGGCCGGGAATGCACCCCAGGCCATTCCAGAGGTCGTGGTTCAATCCGGAACAGCTTCCAAACAGCACGGTCCTGATCCTGATCATTCAAAGAAAGATCAATCAAGTTCTTGATCAGCTTTCCCAATCATAAAGATATTTGACAATAACTTTTTAAAAATATCAGAGTAAATTTTGTAAAGACTCTCGAATGTAGATGCTGACGGACATGGTTTCCAGTTTGGGCTCCAGACACTTTTTCTTTTTTTTTTTTTAAAAAAAAAAAAAAAAAAACTTGATTCATTTGTACTCGAGGAACAACCATCGATGATCCACAGGTGTGGTTGGGTTGGGTAACCTCAAGAGATAACCGTTACTTTCGCATTTTGTATTGATGTTTGATGCTGTATTATTACTCTTTTATAAACAAACTAAACAATTCGTTCGTTTAATTATTTTATCCCATGAAGATGCATGATTTTCCCGCATGTATCCATGTGTAGGTAGTTTATTTGCTTTCTTCCTTCTTCCACCACAACTCCGCGACGTAATCTTCCCAGACATATTTGGAATAATCTTGGATCACTTTGCCTGGATATATATCTGGGACAAACTGCAAATAGGCACCAGTCACAAATTCAATTACTACTACTATTTGCAAACTGTTGACACATTATATTATTATGTCTTTTATATATATGTATGTATATATGCAAATGGGAAGGAAGCCGCATTCAAGAATTTTAGCACACATTTTATTGCAGACTGCAGAGAATGCAGCCATGCCATAGACGACAAAAAAAATGTTTAAGAAACACACAGGAACACCTGATCTGGCGGTCAATTGCTTGCGTTGTTGCCTTCACTACTATTATACTCGAGGGTTCCCGTCTGATAGAGGCTCACCAAGTTTAATTGTGTGTCGTGTTTTGACTGTACAACTTTCAAGCCAATGATCTAATAGTTCCCAAAAGAGACTTGGTCCATCATCCATCCATCTTCTTATTTGCTTTTCAAGTTTGATCAAGTAAATTCACAAAATCATCTTGGACATCTTTATGTTTCTTTGCCAAAGCACTAGACTGGGAAGTTTGGAAATCAAAGGTGAGACGGCCTGAAGTTCATCAATAATGCATTCATATGACCGACCGATAGGACCGGGTACGAGCGAGCAAAATTTGAACCGCGATTTTACTCCAATCCTCACTGCATATGCTTTTGGTCCATGATGAACAGTACTCACCAAAATGAGGAGGAATGGGAGGGTCAAAATGAATTAATTACTGTCCTAGGCCCCAAGGGAAGTGTCCCTTTGTCAAGTCACATGGCAAGTGCAGGCAAAATAAGAAAAGAGAGGAAAAAAAAAAAATTTACAAGTACATATAATTGCAATTTACCAGGCAAAGCTGGGGGCAAAATGCCGCGCCTGTCTTGCACGAAAATAGAAAGTTGTGCTACATGTGAATTTTGTCATAATGCACCCCTTTACCTAATATCCCACCAAAAACTCCCTTCCCTTGCCTTTGCTCGGTTGTCAAATTCCTCAATTCTTTTGGCACCCACTTCAATGAAGTCAGGCCACAATTTTTGGACCCATTCTTCCTTCCCCATCACAATACTACTGTTCACATGATACCATCCTCGAAAGCAAGCAAGAAAAGGCTAGCTTGCTTGCCTGCCCTTTTTGGTTCTTCGGCCTCTCCATGCCAACATTCTGATTAATTTCAAGGTGGGATCTTGCAAAATTTTAAGTCCCCGGGGGGGGGGGGGGGAATATGCGTAGATTTGAATTTTTCTAGTAAGCCTGCGGGAAAAGTAGCTAATCGTAAATGAGTTTTTGATGTGATGAGTGTGATGACGATTAGAACTAGGAACTTATCTGAGGAATGATAAGTTGGGTTTGGTGCAAGTTTAGTTCCTAAGAAAGAAACGTATTGAATAAATATATAGGAAGTTAATGATAGATAGTAACGGTTATTGAAATTTCTGTGAGTAACTAATTATTATTTTTTTTTCAAAATTTTGCAAGACGCAAAAATGCAAGGAAATTTTTCAATATTCTGAACAGGCAAACATGCATGAAAGAAAAAATAACTAATAATTTTTTCTTCACTTTTCTCGCACTATTCCCTGCGAATGAACATTGAGGTTTTCATGCAGACGTATCTTTTGACTAACAGGAATTGCCTTAATCGTCAAGCTAAGACACTTGGCAAAAGAATGCTAAGAGCAATTAACCACGAAGACACGTTTCATCAGTAAACGCTCACATGGTGGTTTACTAGTACATAGCCCCGTATAAATTTCTGTGAGTAATTAATTGCTTTTTTTTTTTTTTTGTCAAAATCCTGCAAGTTTTACAGGACACAAAATGCAAGGAAAATTTTCGACATTCCGGCTAATTAACCAAACATACGTGGAAAAAAAATTAATAATAACTATTTTGACTGCGTACGTGGAAAAAAAAATATAATATTTCTTCACTTTCTCGCACTCTTCCCTACAAACAAACAGTACTCTATCCCAAGGTTTTCCTGCAGACGTATCTTTTGACTGCGTATGGGAGCCGGATTTGCCTTAAACGCCAAGCTAAGGCACTTGGCAAAAGTATGCTAAGAGCAATTAAGCACGAAGACATGTTTAATTGTTGGTCAAAAAAAAAAAAATTGCACCTTTAATCCTTTTTTTCGGATACGATAGAATCAATTTTAAACATATTCCTACTCCTCTATACTAGGGGAAGGGGTATCTAAAGAGATCCAAGGAAAATTCGAGATGAACTAAACTACCACCACTCTATACGGATGCCTACGCACACGCTGATAAACTTTTTCTAAAAAAGTCTGGATTTTTTAGATTGCAAGTCAAAAAATTTAATCCCTTGACCTACACCAAAATAGAGTTTTGAAACTCTCTTGGTTTAATTTGGTTTACTAGTACATAGCTCACTGTAAATTACTCTAAAGTCTGTCTTCATGCGGACATGCCAATCACATTCAATTAGAGAGTAAAAGAAGAGAAAAACAAATGAGAATCTCTCTGTGTCTTCTCTAACGGATCTATTTCTCGTTCTTTGAGGTATCTTAGTTCAAGTTTACTGAGCCTAATTTGATATCAAGTGGGTAATTTGTCCGGTCAGATACAATTAATCAAGTTATTCAATTCCAGTCTATACATGCAAACTACTGTTGAGTACGTCGTAGCTGTGCTAGAAGATAGGGTTACGTATTTCTCCTCTTGATTTTTTTTACTAAAAAAGAGTTTGAATTAGTTTTGGTTCAATTACCGGCACTCCTTAAGACATACTTGTGACTAATTGCTAATGGAGATTCTTACAAATCAGATTATTTGTGAGAATTCTTACAAATTCTTCACCGATAGCACTTTCATAAAAAAAAAAACATGCAATCATTTAAATGGCCTTATTAACAAATCAATTATACACGTTGACAAAAAAAAAAATCAATTATACACGATTAACAGACTCACTAAAAAAGAGAAAATGAAATAACAAAAAAAATAAAAGAAATTGAAATAATAAAAGAAAAATAGTACAAGCAAAAGTGTAGTGATAAAAAAAGGGTCGGAACATGGTAGAATAGAGACACCATAATTACTAGTGCCAATTAAGAGTGCATTTTCTGCTCTGAGATTATATATGTAAAGATTAATATACAAATGTATGGATTTGAAAAGTAAATAAATGTGTTCGGATAATAGATTATTCGAGATAATTTTTTGAAAAAAAAAATTACGGTAGCATATTTTTGATGTGACGTATGTGAAATAAAATGATAATTAAAAAAACATGTTAATTATGCAAACAAATAAAAATCAACAAACAAACTAGAATAAGTAAAATTTTGGGAGTTTTGCTTAAAAATCTGTTAAAAGCAATAAGTTCGATAAACAATCAATTTATATTAAGAATTGAGTTATCCATATCCACTGATAACAAGTAAAGGCCTCATCCCTTGCGGCACTCGTCACATTTGTACAACGTTTTGATGATTTGATTCGAATATTAGTTAAGAGTTATTGACCCAACCAGATTCCCTCCAATAGTTTGTAGAATCCAAACAAAGGGTTCTGTTGTACTGTTGAAAAAGGTTGAAGAAATACCACCCAACCTCCCAGCAACGGCATGTTCTTGAGTTTGACCAACCCCATTGACCAAGTCATCAGTTCCAGAATTTCCCTCTACAAGCCCTAAAAGCTTAGGGATGAGTCGAGCTGTCGAAAGCGGGTTTTAAGTAGTTTGCTTTTTCGGTGACAATGGCTCGTTGTCTGAAGGTGTAGCAGTTTCAGGGTATCGTTTCAGAGTCGTACCTTCAGCTAGCTGCTCATGCAGGACTACTGGGACTAGGACTAGTACTACTAGCCTAGGCCCGGCGCAGGGATTTATAGGCAAATACCCAATGCCCATTGCTCCTCCCATGGCTATTTGCTAGCTTGAATTTCCCATGCATGTGAACCTTTTTTTTTTTTTTTTTTTATAAATAAATTTTCATTATCAGCGAATTAGGGGTGGCAACGGGGCTCCCCATTCCCCGCCCCGTTGCCGATTAATTCCCCTCGCCCCGCTTGTCCCGTCCCACCCCGTTTCCCGGCAGGACACTAGGGAAATTAAAAAAATTTATTATATAATTTTATTATAATTAAATTTGACCAAATAATTAAGTACTAAAATATCAATATATCACTAAAATTATTATTTATTGTAACTTCATAATTGAAACTCATAAAAATAATTAAACAAAAGTTATTTGAATACAATCTAATATGATAAAACAAATATAACTAAAATAATCAAGTTTTTACTTTTGATACAAATACAATCACTAAATTATTATTATATTTTTTTAGAAAAAAAAAGTGTTACTGTATTAAGTGTAGTTAGGAATTTAATATAAATGTATTAATAAATTTAGTATTAATAATTTTTATTAATAGACATATATAATAAGTAGTATAATTGATAATGAGTGTGTTTGGATAGAGTATTATTTGAAATATTATTTGGAATAATTACTCTAACATTTTGTATGATATGATGTATATGAGATAAAAAATAAGTAAGAATATAAAAAAATGGGTTGAGAAATGTGTTTATGATACAAGTAAAATATTATTTAAGATAAATTTATAATATATAATTATGCACATATATATATCTTTTTTTTTCCAAACGAGTGGTGAGGCGGGGGAGTATACTCTCGCCCCCGCCCTAATAGATCTTGCGAGTACCCGCTCTTGTTGCCATCCCTGGGTTATGACTGTGGTCTATTTTTTTTTTTTTCAATATAGGGTGTATTCCAATTTTACCGGACTAATCACCCTTCACCTGAAGTACCCCACCCTCCAAGAGCACCCAGGCGTTAAGAGAGGTTCGAACTTTGGACTTGGGACTTGAATGGCTACTCCAATACGAGGTGATCTAACCCCGAGGGGCGACTGGGTCTGTTTGAATAGGAAGGTTATTTAGGAAAAAAAATTAAAAATGACACTTTATATAATATGATGTATATGAGATAAAAAATAATTATAAAATGCATTGCATGATGTAACTAAAACATTTACCATCCAAACCTAGATTTATGTGTTTGGGTAGCAGATTATTTGAAAATTTTATTTGGAATAAAATTATAGTAGTTTTTAAAGAAGCACTGGAAGGCGTACAGCACTACTAGATTTCTTATTGACCCGGGCACGGCTGCACAAGAGCTCGGCAAAGTCAGATCATATCCATCGGATTGTGAATTATTTGTCAAATTATATCTGCTTACATCATCATTACAATTTTCAACGTACCTTTTTATCTTCTCAATTACCTTTTTATCTCACATACATCACATCATAAAAAGTGCTACAGTAAAAATATCTCAAATAATTCACAATCCAAACAAACCCCATATTTAATACTCCGGTTTGCACCTAAAGAGCTTGACCGCTGCTAGCGCTCTCTCCCTCAGGCTCGGATTATAGATCACGCATGACTTGAGAAATCGTGAGAAAACCCTATCCAGTTACGGTCGGATTCTCAAAATAGGAATCCAAATTGGATTTGCGTTCAGCTGATTGAACTTATTTACAGCGCACTGATGACCGGTCAAGCAATAATAGCCCGATGCTGCGTCCATCCTAAATTGTACTAATCGGGTCTGAATTTGAAAGTGACTGTTCCCGACCGAATCCGAGTATCCGACCCTTCACAGGCCTCGTAAAAGTCTCAGCAGCAACTCGTACAAAGCCCTCTTTAACACTGCTTTGAATTCCGCGACCCGTTGAACACCTAAACCCCAGGCACAGCTCAGGAGCGTGGGGTTCCAACCAGGCAATGAAACAGCCAAAATAATCGGCGCGTGGAGGTAACGGGGGAACCTGACGGGTTTATGGAGGCCTCGAATATCTCAAAACAAATCCCTGACGTCATCACCTAAGTAAGTGACCAATCAGTGTTGGACCGAGCGTGGCCCAAAGGCCAACAGGCATTGTCTTGCATGGTTATATGTGTACAATTGTAGATTCACCTTTTTTTTTTTTTTTTTTTATCATCATCTCATCACGTGACCTACTTTTTCTAGACTTGATTGTGTGTGTGTTTTTATAGA